ATTGAAGAGATTCTCCCGATTAAAATGCGTCCAAATTCGAGTGTAATGGAACAATTGTTACTTATACGTAATGTTGCGGATGAAAATGATATATTATTGAAAATAATCCGAATGATGTATTTTGACTCATTTCCACCGACAGAATCTCCTCAGTTCATTCGTGACACTTTAAGGGGGGAGACTCCTTTGGGGCCAACTCCGAATCGATCGAAGCGCGGATGTAAACAATCGGACGCCAGCGGAAACACAAAATCGATATTAGGGACGGCTTGATAATACGACATCTAGCGGCAGTACCCACAAATAAATTTTGTTCCCCGTTACCATCAAGCTGGGTTTGTGTATTTCCTATGCGAAGACAGTGTTGCCGGACAGTATGGTTTTTCTTACGCTGTTGCCTCATGTCCCGCATGCAATTCTACCCGTGAGGAGAACGATGGAATAGCTACGGCCTACGTCTCGTGGTGAGATTTCGATTCTCGCCGAACGTCCAAGGCCAGCGACCGACTCATCGGCATACAATGTAAACAGACGTAGATGAGATAAGGAATGACGCACGAATGAAAATTTAAACTTTTACAATTTGCAATATATTTTAATGAAAATGTCATGAATGAATTGAAGAAATTCTCCCAATTAAAATGCGTACAAATTCGAGTGTAATTGGACGATTGTTACTCATACGTAATGTTGCGGATGAAAATGATATATTATTGAAAATAGTCCGAATGATGTCGTATTTGGACTCATTTCCACCGACAGAATCTCCTCAGTTCATTCGTGACACTTTAATGAATGTATACTGAAAACTATAAAAGATTAAATTTGCATTCATGCGTTTCATTCCTTATCTGTTTACATTGTATTTCGATCGTCAGTCGCTGGCCTCTCGCCCGGCGCTCAACAGCCATTTATTCCTGCTGGCCAAAGTTAGTCGAAGGAACAGTCAAGCGACAATGTTCTTTAGCTAACGATGAGCTGAGGCAGACAAAAAAGTTTAAAAAGCCGCAAATCGATGTGATTCATATTGCACTATCCAAAATTCTATGCTGCTTATTTATTCACGGTATATTGCAGTCTAGTCTGTATATACGAACTAAAATATGATTTGCAATATGAAACTGCCCGCGCGAGAACGGGTACATCAGCTAGTTATCCATAAAATGATTTGAATGTTTATGAGAAGTTAAGGATTAGTCTAGATAATTAAGTTTTAATGATTTAATTGTAATTAGTTGTTTCACAATGTATAGGAAAATGTTTGACAAAACACGCACAAAAATAGTAACACACTTTTTTCAACTTTTTTATCTTAGCCTATAATGAGCATTTGAAATATGCCTCTTGTACACTTATATATCTAAGAAAAAGAAAAGTGAAGCTGCGATGTTACAGTTTCTTTATTGTCATGACTAAGTATATCATTACTATCTATCAGTGATGGGCAAAATTTTTATTTAAATAAAAATCGTGATTAAAAAAATTAAGGTTGTTAGAAATATGCAAATCATATTTTGGCGCCGCTGAATGTCAGGTAAATAAGGTAGTTAGTTACCTGACCTACTGATTGATTGAAGTAAAAACATGCGGTGTAACGGAGCCTCGTGTTTCGAAGACAAAGAACTCCGAGCTGTCGTTCAAATCGGAGCGTGCAAGACTGAGTCTGTGTCTTGCGCCTGTACTCTCATTCGTCTATTAAATATATATCGCATTTGTTCTTAATTCTCTGTGCCTACTAATACCTCCTCGTTTACTCAATCGTCTGTGTGCGTTATACGCGTAATATTTACCACTATAACAATAAAGGTAAAAAAATTTTTATCGTTATTTAAAGCTTGAAGAAAAAAGTAACTTTATCGACGAGCGTCGATTAAATAACTTTATTCACCGAGAATTATCCGATGAGTAAAAGTATATCTGTATATATGTATACAGATGAGTAAAGGTATATCTGTATAAAAGTATATATGTATATTAATGAAAGTGTCATGAATGAATTGAAGAGATTCTCGCGATGAAAATTAGTCCAAATTTGAGTGTAATTGAACAATTTTTACTCATACGTAATGTTGCGGATAAAAATGTTATATTACTGAATCTTTTTGGAAATTGTTTATTAATTGTTATTGCATTATTTGAGTAACCAACCCTAAATTAATATGAATGCTCACTTGTAATTTCGAAAATTAAAAAATGCAATTGTTAATTTAATGAACTAATAAAATATTAATTGTAATTGTTAGCTAGTTAGTAGATCGAATTCCATTCAACACTGTTCGTAACAGAATAATAAAAAAATTCTATTTAACAAATTTATATTATACATTTTATTTACTATTAAATCAAATTAAAATAATGTTACATAAAAGTTAAAAATACCACGAGGTTTACTAAGTTTATACATAAAGTTTAAAAAATTGCATAAAAATTAAAACATACTGCATAAAAGTTAGTAATGAAAATGGGAAAAGGAATATAAAAGGTTTATGACCCTTTTGTTCCGAATTCTGCTAGTACCGCGCGGACGAAATCGGCTGTTGACCAATGTCGAACCTTCTGACAACGAGATTAAGAAAGGGAAATAACTGTATACAATAAGTAAAAGAAAGTTTTGTTCGATAGCAATAGCCGCTGTGACCTTGTAGAAAACATAAAATTACGGAAGTTATTTCTAAAGGTCTTTCGTACGTATAAGATTCTTAAATTAATATCTTCCAAGCTTTCATTTCACTGTACGTAACATATTAATGTAATGGATTTAAAATAAAGGTAACATCTAATTGTAAGAATAATTTTTGTATATATAAGAGAATATGTATTTGTGTAATATAAAATTTAAATATTAAAGAGGAATAAATACATCAACCATTTTTGTAAAATGCTTCTTAAATTAATATTTTCGAACCTTTCATTTTACTGGCAATTTACAAAATGCTTAAATGCCAATATTATACAATAATTAAAAATAAAAAGTAAAACCGTCGCATCGGGATTCGAACGGGGTTTCGGACGGGGTTTCGGACGAGGTCATCATGAGCGCGTGAGAGAAATCATGCAGCTCTCCGCGTTTAGGACGTAAACTTTAGGTTGCTTGGGATTTGAGATTTTTGACCTGGCTTGGGCCACTCGACCGTCGCATCGTAAACGTGTGACGTAAGACATTTGCCGATACACCCGAAGCAGAGCGCACACGGACAGAGGTAGAAAACGCTTATGTTGGGGAGTCGCCGAGTAGGACGTAGTGGGGGCAGAACTCACACGGCAGGCTAGAATATGCTTGTGTAGAATACACTTGGCCCAAAGCTATTTATAGATTTACTCGAAGTTTTCGGATAAAGTTAAAAGTGAAAGATGAAAGTAACGGCAACGCTATGAGTGAAACGCCATGATACAAAAAGTAACTTTTACTCATCGGATAATTCTCGCTGAATAAAGTTATTTAATCGACGCTCGTCGATAAAGTTACTTTTTTCTTCAAGCTTTGAGTAACGATAAAAATTTTGTTACCTTAATTTTTTTAATCACGATTTTTATTTAAATAAAAATTTTGCCCATCACTGCTTGTTAGTACAAAATCTATCTCCGCTGGGCGACGAATGAAAGATTGACAGAGCGTATACGATTAATTGTGTTCCTTTTGTGTCTCTTTTATGAAATATTTGTGTAAGTATATAACACCTGCGTCAGTTATGTCAATAAAAAATAAAGAAATATCCTTTCTAAAATTCTAATTCTTTCAATTAGAATGTGTTTATTGGTGTTTATACGGACCAGACCACCCTGTAGGGAAGTCTACCCGTGAGTTTTATACCCGTGAAAAGTGCATTTGTGCAATTGTCGAGGCTCATTTTGGTTCCTACGAAATCGAATGTCTCTCTTGTGCATCGCATATACATACACGGTTCCCGTTGATTGTGTGAGTGCATACACAGCGCACGGGCCACGGAGTCTCCCTCCTTAGCTTCAGATTACAAAACGGTAAAGGACTTTTCGATTTGTATTTGCACGAGGAATATGTATATTGCAAGTTGTCCCATCTTTTTGGGACATCCTTGTATAATGAAATGTAATTGCAGTAGAGAACATTGCCAAAAGATTTTCCATCGTGAAAATGTATCATTATTTCCGTAGAATCTGTATGTACATGATTTCAAGAAAGGAAGAAACTAAGAAATAATTTATTGGGATTGTGCATAAGTTATAGGAATTCTCAAAATGATATTTTTTTCTATTACTGTTACTACAACCTATATGATGTTGATATGTTGTACTGCGCACAATTGAAAGTACGTGGTTGATTAAGTAAATTGTTTTGAAGATTGTACAAAATGTTGTTTTCCTATGGAGGAATTCTCATTATGTATGCACCAATCCATATGAGAAGTGTACATACATACACAGATACATATATACATACACAGATGCATACATACATACACATGTATTCAATTTTTCAATAAAATGTTCCTTATAACATTCACTTAGTTTAGTGATCATCAAGAAGTTAAGACATTGAAATAATTGTAAAAAGTATAAATTGTAAATAATAAAAAGTTATTAAATATTGTTAATAAAATTATATTTCCGCTACAGTAAAACCACAGCCGACTCTATTACTAGCCGAACAACGTGGCAACACCGGCAACACCCTCATGGTCTAGGCCCTAGGGTAGGCTGTGGTAATGTAGGGAGCGGATACTGCCGTCTCTCTCCCTCCATAGTGTCTCCTTCTCCCGCAAGGAAAAAGAGGCGCGTGCATCGCGTTGCCGCCTGCGTGCGCGAGATCCTTGTTGTCCGCTGCCGCTACAGCACGTACACGTACTCGTAGACAATAAAGTCTTTGTTCTATACACGTGGCAGTATTATTTAACCTCCACGCTACAGTGGCCGGGACGTAATATCCCTAAACGCCACATTGGTGATCCCGACGTGATCCGCGGTTCCATAGACGTGAAAAATTAAAATTCTGGAAGGAACATCGAGCCGATCGACACGCTGACGCGTTGTCTTCGCTGCGGAAGTCTGTTCTTGTCCTAAGACATCTCCTGGCCTTACCGACATGCCCTGCCGGAGAGGCATTCTTCACGGCATCCTGATGCGATAGCTGTTGTCGTCGCGTGGTTCCGCGACGCGGAAAATCGTCGTCACCGGTGCCTGAGACGATGCGACGCAGCGTGTGCCGACGCTTTCGTTCCCGATACATCGCCACCGGTGCCTGTTGGTACGTCGTCGCTGGTCCCGAGGACGTCTTCGTCACCGTCCCAGGATCTTTGCCAGCGGCGTCATCCGCCACGGCGGTGTTGCGGCTAGAAAGGTAGCTACGCACATAATGTGCGGAACATAATTTTTTGCAGCGTGCATCGTCCGTGTACGATGGCATTATTTACCCAATCCCCGTGGCAGTAGCAGTGATGCCAGGACGTGGGATTTTTCCCACGCATGCGCACTACCTAATCCTCAGTAACGTATATACTTCACTCAAATATGGGGTATCGTTAGACCCCCGTGACAA